CTAAATATCATAAGATGATATCTATCTGAATTATCCTGCAATGTGTTCTTTCATGTTGAATTATTTTTAAAATTAATTACTATCATGTTTTGAATAGATAGCTGTAACACTATTGAATAGGGAAAGTATATAACTATTAAGGGTAGAATATGCAGCTAGTCTACTCTGACACTAAATACTTTAAAAAAACCCATACAGAGTATATATTTCTTTCATGCTTGACACAAATTTGTTTTTATTTTTTATAGTGATAAGATAGCAGTTAAGGGCATTTTTTTTCTACACTTTGCTTACCATGGATTCAGTACTTATAAACTCCTATTTTTTGTTTCTGTTTTGCTCCCAGCCATAGTGGGGCACTATTAGTGCTCACAGTGATCACACTGCTAGTGAAATAAAAAAAACCCTAAATATATTCCTGTAATTCACCACCATTATATTTACTACTGTGTCTGTTTCTGTATGTACAGATATTTGGGATAAAAGAAAAAAATTGTTAGATGCCATATTTATCCATTATATATGTATAGCTTTCCAATACTATAAACTAAGTTTGTGTTGTTCTTTTGCACTTTTTACAGTATATAAGAAAAAATGGTTACAATACATTTCATTTGCTATTTAATAAGTGTTAATCGCAACTGTGTGGTATTTGTATATTTTTACCTTACACAGTTCTATTTTGTAGTGGTTTAAAATTTGGGGAAAGCATTACATTCAATAAGCAGAGCAAAAAGAATAAAATTTTCTATTGGATCAGCTTGTTTCTACATGATTTCATTGGCCATTTAGACCTTTTTCCAGCACAAAGTGCCATGAAGTGAGTAGCTTACTTGTGTATCTTTACAGCACTACAAAGCACTGTAGGCTGCTCACCTGGCTCTAATAGTTGAATTTGAGGAAAAAGAATTGATTTTTTTTTTTTTAAAGTTTATGAAGTTTGTCCTTTGGAAATATTTAGGGGTTCAGATTGGGTTTGCAGGGTTTTCTGATTTTCAACAACCCTTACACCCCACACCACACTTCTAGGAAACTACTTCTGACACTTACACAAGATTAGCATTGGAATAACATTGTCAATCTGCAGGAAGGAATTGTTTCTCCTGCCCCAATAAATGAGAAAGAGGCGGTTTTTTGCTGCATCCTTCTGAATGATAGATATATTGTCTTGTTTACATTTCTGCTGAAATTGAGAAAAAACCAGAGTGGTTTGATTTGAGCACATATATGAAAATCCTCTTTACTATTTGAATGCGTAATGCAATAACAATTAGTAGAAATTAATTTTTCTAAATGAATAGTGTGGATGACTGAAAAAATTAAATCTCTTTGACAGGGACTGACTGCACTTGTTCTGCTGTATAAATCCATACAGTGGCTGTGTAAAACCAAAGAATAATATTAAACAGGAAAAAGAAGAAATGTAGGTGAGTGTTAGAACTTATATTTGAATGAAAATGGAAGATAAAGGTAAGGTTTTAAAAAATTCCAAGTTTACCTTACTAAGAATATCTTTCTAAATTCTAGTGGTAAGTCCCACATGCTTGCATTAGCAAGCATTTATTTATTCAGAGATGCAAAAAGAATATTACTTAAAATTATGTTATGGACCAATTTTAAAGTCCAGGACAATTGGAATTCATCTTAAATTAGTTCTTTAAACCATTCAAGTAAGGTTTTAAATACTGCAGCCCATATAGCAGACATGAAAATTTCAGTATTACTGTGAAAGACAATCAAAGGTAGTATCAGCTGCTAAATGTAAAGAATTTTATATATATACACACACACACACTTTTATTTTTTTATTTTATTTACCTGTACTTACATAGATTCATAGATTTCACTAGGTAAATTTAACATCTTTAGGAATACATTTATAAATTTCTGTAACAGTTATACTTGATGTTTCTTGAAAATGTTCCTTCAATTTACACTTTAGAAACTACCTTTACTGAAAGAGATTAATCTATGTAAAAACAGCCCATATCCGTCCTCTGCTTTCTTTCCTTAAATTCTTAGGAAGCCCTGGAGATTCACACTGGGAAACAAGAGCAGTGACTGCACAGTACAAATACAGGCTGATTTGGCATAGTGTCCCTCACATCAAACAGAGCTTTGCTCTAGAAATGGTACAGGTTCAATGAATGGGCTTCAGAGCAGCTGCCAACATTCATTACTGGCAGACGACTAAAGGAGATGTGTGCCATGTGAAAGGCTCTTGCTAGGTTTCAAGGTATTAAAGAATAAGCACTGGAAAAATTTGCCACAGAGAAAGGCTTGCCTATCATTCATAGGACTACTTGAAAAAGAAAAATATCCTTGATAATTATTTTAAAGATTATAGGTAACACTGGTGTGAACTCCCTTCCAGTACAGTCCTAGAACACCATAATCTGTCAATTGTAAGATACTGCCCTTAGCACAAAGGAATCTGGGGGCAATATATTATGGACAGGCAATGTATGAAAATCTAAGACATTTAAAAAAACACTTAAGAATGATTTCCATTTATGATTCTGAGTCACTGTTTTCAGTAGCTTATGCAAAAATCAATGAGCTTTTGATCTGTAACTAGTGAGAAATTAAGAAAGAGCACTTATGCTTTACCTTTGTTTTCTTTGTTGATTGATATGAAAAATGAATCCAGAGGAGGGAAACTTAAACTGAAGAACAATTCCTGAGATGGTAGATAAAGGTGATTTCAGTGGATCGGTGGCAATTTCCACAATCTTTCAGTCTTCTCCAAAAGGAAAAAAGAGGTAGTATAATTTTGGCCAATCTACTCTTTGATCAGTTTGATTCATGTTGTTCCTTTCCTTCTATCAGAAGAAGAAACTTCTCAGTAAGAAGTCACTTCTTTCTGAGACGTGCCAGGAGCTAGAATTGTTATTAACCTAGGAGAATATTGCTGTCATATAGTGGAAGCAACGCAATATGTGAATGTCAGACATCAGTTTTAAATTATGCATTAATTATTTTTTAGTGACTAGACTTCTGCACATTTGGCTTTTTTAATAATTTTCCCCATTTTTTCCTCATATGCACATGCACAGCCGCATGATAAACTGCTGAAGATGAGGCTATTACTAGCTGACACTGTAAGAATCTTTACTACCTACTCTACTCCCTTAGTGCTGAGATGATTTTCATTGCTAAGAGCCTGAGGATGCATGTAATTTAGAAACAAATTCTGCTTTTCCAAATTATGCTCTGATTTTTTTTTCTGTTGGCAGTTTGACATTCTCTCTTTTGTATTATTATTATTATTGTTATCAACATTATCATCATCTATAATTTAACTGCTCTCTTTTTATAGCTGGGTTAAGTTCCCTATAGTATAAGCAAATATACTATTGACCAAAATATATGTCTACAATAATAAAATAATTTATCATTTTGGCAATTTTCTCTGCTATTTTTAAGTGGGATATATGCTGTCTGCTCAGACTTCATTTTGTTCTGAAGACTAAAGGGTACTTCAGTATGTGGAGGAATCACAGAAGCAATCTATCTGTCAATTCAAATTTTGTTTTTAACAAGTAACATCGCTAAGGATTTAATGGCAAAGGACAGACTGAATCATTTATCTTAGTACTGCACCCCTATGCTGAATTTGTTCCAACACTGGGAAGTTATAAAACTATAATTTTAAGTTAGACTATAATTTCTCATTTCAGTAAGGGAAAAACATTCTTATTCCATTGTAACAGCAGATATATAGTGATGTTAATGAGTAGGTATGATGGTTTGGACCTGGCTCCCTGCCAAATGCCCAAACCCACAGTAGAAGTCCCCCTTCCCCTTCCTTCTTCCCGCAAGGGCAAAGGAAAAAAACTATGCAAATTGAAGAACCCGAAATCAAGCTAGTTATATAAAAAATATATATTTTATGTATATTACAGTTAAATACAGTTAAGATGCTATGTATACAGCAAAAGAGAATCCAAACACCCCCCGGAGGGATAGTGAAAAGGGAAAAAAGGGACAAAAAGGGACATTGAACAGGTATACACACAATCAAACTCAAGAACTATACTAATAACTAACAAAACAGATCTCACCACATCCCTTAGAAAAAGCAGGATTGGCAGACACGGCCAGCACTCTCCGAGCCTCCACGCATCAGGCCAGTGGTCGCTGCAGGTCTCAGCCTTAGAGAAGCGAGACCAACGCAGGGACCCACTGTTCCTGAACCTCACCAGAAGAGAAAAGAGCAAAGGCCTCTCCTCTCTTCTTATTTATACCCCAATTTATGTAAAAATTGTATGGAATACTGGGAACACTGCCCCTTCCTTGGTTACAAACTGGTCACAAAGGAAGGTCTAGATTAAAACTACCACAGTAGGAAATTGAATGCGGTAACATTGCCCCAGATTAAGAGGTTAACAGTTTGTCGAAGACACTGGACCCTTTCCCCAGATGTAACTAGAACTGGCTGAATCTGAGCAACACAAATCTGTTGGCTCATGTCCCTTCCCTTCCCTTCTAGCACCTCCCTGCCCCTCCCCTCCCCTCAGCATGTCATAGAACAACTACTAGGTCTGTTAGAAATATGTTTCTCATATTCCCCTTTTTATAGTTGTTTAATAATGCTTTCAGAATTAGGATAATCTAATTTACTTTTGATGAAAACATTACTGATTCATTGGAGATTCACAATCAGATTTTCATCCAGTTACATTCATTCAAGTAAGGCATAGCACACTTCTGACTGTGACTTGCCTTCCGTCTTTTCCTTTGCACTTATTTCTTTCCAGACATGAATTTTAAAGCACTGTTGAGGATGTGATATAAGGATGTGCATTTAATTGATCATTGGTAATACTGAGTATTAATTATCATATTCTAAAATACAGGCTGAATACCATTTGAATTTTAATTGTATTATAGATAATGGAATATCTTTCCCATTGAACTAAAATGGTAGTAGTTATTACAGTTGTCCGTTATAAAGTTGATGAGACTTAAAACATATATTTTTATTTCTTCTCTTTCAGTTTCTGACTTGGATCTTCAGATAGTAAGGCATTCTACTAGGAGAGTTTCCATGTCTTTCTTATGAGCTGTTGTGAGCTGCCTTTGCACTGAAAGTTTTCAGTTCCTGCATTTGGTGGCACAAATGAAATGTAAGTGTTTTTATTATTTTTTTCTTTCCATATTTAATACGAGGTAACACAATGGTAGCTTTAGTTCTCTACTGATGTTAAAGATTAAAGCCTGAGAGTTTCAGATTAGACACGTGGGCAAGAAAAATCTACTGAAGGGCAGTGGAGCACTGGAGCGGGCTACCCAGAAAGGTTGTAAAATGCTCGTGGAAATTTTCAAGCCTTGCCTAGACAAAGCCACAGCTGACTCTTCTAGTGTTGATTATAGCCCAATTCTGAGTAGGAACAGACCTAAATGAACTCCATTGACAACCCCTCCCACCAACACTTTTATCTTACTGTGAAAATGAAGTAAGACAGAAAAGGTATAAAGAGTCAGCTGCTGTCAGAAGGGCAGTGTATCCAGTTAAGCATCCTGGAGAATTAGTGTCTTTGGACTTGATTTTCAGGAGCTGCTCCATATCACACCAACATACTGTGCTGAAAAGGGATGAGGATGAAGCTGATTTTCTCCTAGGTAGGTGACAGGGTAGAGAGAGGTGTATCACAAACCACAGTCTCATTTTCAGGGCTTATTTTGGTCTGATAAGTAGTTGCACCATTGTTTTCTCTGAACTGTCTGCAAATTACATATTTGTGTCCTTGTGACCTGAATCAAACACAACCTAGGCAGGACAAGCAAGGAACTTCACTTAAGGATTGTTCCAGTGGTCTTGAAATCTCATATAAAACTACATTACCATCAAAGGGTGATTCATGGTCAGCCTTGTATGACTGACATGTATTCATGGAAATATAGTTCATATTTTTTCTGTGTAAATTCACTGTTTCCCCTTTACCATAGGCAAATGTGTTATTCCTACTATACCTCAGCATAACTGATAGAGTTACTAGAGATCACAGTACAGTGATTCTGTTCTTGTATTTTTCCATTTCACTAATATAAGCAGATTCACCTACCAAACTATTTAATGGTATGGCCTCCTCAAGTGTCTTTACCATAGCAAATGCTCCTTGATACATTATTGAGATTCATCAGTGAATGTAGAAAAAGAATAATTTCCTTTTTATATTTTTTCTAATGTTGATAAATCAAAAATCTTGATAGGTTAAACTGGAAATAATTCCTACAGAAATCTTCAGCAAAGCAAATGGATGTTACTTTATGGAACAACAATATAAAAGGAATATAAAAAAATACCTTTCTACAAATAGCATTCATCACATTTTTCTCTTAATGGACATGCCATCATACTTGTGTATGCTAATATTGGTTCTACTGTTCAAATAAAACACTCCATGCACTGTTTCAGCTAACAGTGAGCAAAGTCAATACTGTGCTTTGACATCTCTATTGTAGTTTGCATTTTACCTTCTGTTTGATACAGATAAATTCTATAGTTGTGTCACATTTTTCTTCAAGATTGAGCAGATCAGTGAGGATGATAAAATATTAATGGTAAAAGCTTAGGGAATTAGATATGTCTGTGAATATAGGTTAGACTTTCACAGTCCAACCTATTTCTTTTGTGTGAACTCCATCAGACACGATGTACTGTAAAATATATTTTGTCTGTTCAGGTTAAAATATGTCATTTTTCAGACCAGAGAAAGGGCCTAAATTTTTTATTTAATGGTCCAAGTTTATTTAACAGCTTTATACATTTTTCAGTAATTTTGTTGTCAAAAGCAGAACTGATTGCCAGTATGCCATTTCCTTGTATTTCTCCTACTATCACATTACTCTGCAGAACACGTGGAGCTAGAAGGAAGGAGAAAGAAAATTATAGCTTCATTTGTAATCTTCTACTGCAACAGGGAAAAGATTATTAACCACCTAGTTGCCATGGTGGTTACAATGTGTGTTACAGGAGAAGCTGTTAAGAGACCTCTAGTTTTTGACTAGGCCCTGTTATTTGGGGATTTAAGGAGAATGGTAAGTAATCATTCCCTCTTCCTTTCCAATACTTTTTTTTGTTTATGCTTTTGAGGCTTACTTATATTAAACTAAATTGTGTCAAAACTTCTGTCCCAAAGGCTGGAGGACTGAGTGGACTTTTTTTTTTTGGTTGATAGATATTTTCTTTTTTCTTCCTTGTTTCACTACCCTATACTTCTTAATTTATTTCTTCTTTAGTTAGCTGCTATTAACATGGCTTAGTTAAATAGAAGCAACTATTGGGCCAAAGGCTTTTTTTTTCCAAATTAATGTTAACCTGTGCTGGGTAGATTTTAATGAATTATCCATACAGCAACATAAGTAGGAATGTGTCTCCTGACTTAGCAATGAAAAATAAAAATAATTACATAAGAACAGGTCAAGCTAAAAGTCCATGAAGAACAATAAGCTGTCTCTATTAGTAGTCTGTGACAGTGTGGATTTTTATGTCCTTGGAAAATTAATCATATAGCACTAGGAAGATTTTGCATTTTTTCTCCTACTTGACTCATACTGCTTGCCATGCAGTTGTTATTTCCATGTTCTTTTGCTTATTCCTGTGATGGGATTCTATCAACGTGCTTAAAATAAAATGTGGACAAAATTGTTCTTCTTGTCTAGACCTCTAAAAAAACTACATCAGTATCTAAAGACAGGAGTCATCCTACCTAGCTTTACTCTTAAAAAAGTGGAATAAATGGAAAGACACAGTCTGGCTATTCAGAGCACGTTTCTTAAACAGCTATCTTAGCATGAATTTAATTACTTTATAATGAGTACCTCTGCAAACAGCGTAGATTACATGAATAATGTTTGAATGACTAAACCAAAGGATTAATTCTTTCCTAATCGTTGAAAGCATTGCTCTTTCTGTTCATGGTACTGTCAGCCAGCTTCAACGTAACTGCTTTGAAGTTAAAAGTGGGGGGGACAGTGACACAGGAGTTAATTCTTGGGTTTATGTCTTGCCCAGACCTGATAATACTTTGGTAATTCCACTCTGTCTTCTTGATTATTCTATCAAAATATTTCCCATCAAAATTCCTTGTTAAATTTATACTTCCACCAATAGTGAGGACTCAAATCTCATGATCTTCCAGTCCCACACTCCATCAAATGCTCTATCTGATACTGTGTCCTTTCTGTCCATTTCTGTAGCTCCTTGTAAATCACAAATTTGACAGTCTTTCAGTCTCTGAGTACATCCAGGATGTTCTAAAGTTGGTGTGGTTTCTAGGCTCCATACACATTTTTGCTGTTGTCACACAATTCCCATGTGATGGTTTGCTGAAAGTGCTTCCAAGAGTTATGAGAAGTGAGTTTCTGGTGAGACATAAGCAGAGGTGTCTGTCATTCGACTGGAAGTCCAATTGTTGTAGAACACTTTCAACAATATACTTTTCATTCTTATGAGAACACCACTTTTCTCAAAATGTTGGAAAAGAAATGTAAGTTTCAAGGAGGCTTACTGTTTTGTAGAAGACACCAAAATATTCCAGAAACCCTATTGTACAGCACAGTTCTGTCTTGTGCCCAATGTGCTTCACAGGTCAGAGCTAAGGTGGTAGTGGTGAGTGAGAACACTAGCCCATGGTATCTAATTGGTCTCATCTCTACCAAACTCTCATTTATTAACCAAACTCTCATTTTTTACCCTTGTATTTTGTCTAAAAAAAAAAGGAAAAAAGAAAAGGAGCTTACTCACATAAAGAATCAAGCAGTTTACCATGTCATGTTGGCCTTTTGCACAGTGTTAAATGAAATCACACATTGCTCAGACTTTCTAATTAACAGTATGATGTGTGGGGGAAGTCTTTCATTAATTAACCTTTCAGTTAATCAAAGTACATTTTCTGCTTCTCTCCAGTTTCGATCTGTTTCATGTTTTTTCTTCCTTTATTTCTTATCTTTTACTTTGTGGTCTAGAGCTTGCCTTTGAAATAATAACATCAAGTCCCTGATTCACAGCTATCAAAATTTTGAGCTACACTGTAAGATGACAGAGAATAATAAAGCTTATTTTCATCCTAATAATTCTGAAATAAAATACCAATTTTAGTATGATAGAAAAATAACTCCCATGACCCATTTTTCTTGGCTAAAATCATAAACATTCATAAAAATGCTCTACTTTTCATTCAATCTCAAAGGTTTTTCATTTTAGAGATGTAGAACTCTTTTTGTAAAGGGAGGCAGAATTGTTCCTTATGTATACAATAGAATTTCATCAGACCAAAAACTCAGCTCACATGTCACCTGCAGACTTTCTCTTTATTTTCCAAAATATTTCTATTTCTAAATATGCATTTCATAAGCAGTAATTTCTGTGATTGTATTCTATAAAAATATGGAGTCATTTATAAACAAAGTTCAGTACAAGTAGGAGGTTTACAAGCCAGCATACACAGATGTGAAAGTATGGAGAGGTCAGGCAAAAACCTCAGAAATAATTATCTATTTCATAAAGTTATAAAACAAAAGTGGAAACTTTTTGATAAATTTAGTTTTCTCCAGCAAAGAGCAATATAGACTTTTTTTCTCTCTCTCATCCACTTAAGCAAATAGAATAATGTATTTCAATATGGAAGAGACTAATTGACCAACAGTCAGCCCAAAAGATCTGCTAGTTCACCTGATCTTTTATCAATATGATTGCTGAATTAATTACCTCGTGTATGTGTTTGCATATTTTTTACTTATATGCACTTAGAAAAGCCTATAAATAAGCTTCTAAAGAGAAAGTATCCAATCTGAGCCTTAAATATTGAGGGATTTACCAATTTTCAACTCTCAATGCTTGTTTTTTTCCATTCAAAGAAATTACTCAGGCTTTTAAGAAATTTGGGCTAAAAAAAACAGTGGTCAGCTTTAACAAGATTATCTTTAACAAGTGGGACACCTGCCTCCCAGTTTCACAGAATTACAGAATATGCTGACTTGGAAGGGACCCACAAGGATCATCGAGTCCAACTCCTGCCCTGCACAGGACCATCCCCAAGAGTCACACCATGTGCCTGAGAGTGTAGTCCAAACGCTTCTTGAACTCTGTCAGGCTTGGTGCTGTGACCACTTCCTTGGGGAG